TGATCACCTACGTTTTGAAGAACATTTCAAAAACACATAAACTAGAATGGATAGTTAACAAAAACTAAAAATACATATACTAAAATATTATATTTTAAATCTTTCTTCTAACTAAAATGATTTAAATTAATGCAGGGATAATATTAATTCCTGCCATGCACATAAAAATTCCTTCAAAGTAACAAGTAGGAGATTACTCCATGTTCTAATTGAATAGTCCAACTTTTAAGAATCAAATTGAGAAACAAAAGAATAAAGATTTCCCTTATCTTGAGATTCCATTTTTATTTATTTAGTCTTATGTACTTGACATTTTGAGTGTGAATCATTGGAAATTTGGAAGAGTTGTTGGAGGAAGATTGTAAGAGTTTCTTGAATAGTTTGCAAAATCAAATAATTCCAGCAAGTTTTCTCAATCATTTAAGCTGATGCATCCCAACAACCCCTACATCCAATAATTTAAAAACAACAAGGTACAAAACTGGATATTATTGTTAAATATCTCAAATTATTAGTAAAGTTCAAATATAAATAAAACACAAAATTAAACAATATTAACTTGAGAAAAATCCCTTAGATGTGCGACATATGTCTCAAATTGCTTCTGTCACATAATTGCATATTATATCATTTTCAAGCTCTCTATTATAAATATAGGTTTCATTACAAAACTGATGCTGTGTGTTCCCCGCCGATAGTTCTTTCTTCTTCTTCTTCTTCTTCTTTCTCTCTCTGTCTGCAAATTTCTATAAAATTCCAGCCTTTTAACAGTCGCCATCCATCCTTCCCATAATTCTTTTGTTTTCTTTTTTATTATTTTTTTCTGTACTTGCATATCTTTCTAATTCGTCTTTAATTAATTTTGAGAGCGATTTATCATTTAATTTGCCATGGATGTTGACCATTTAAAGTCGGGGGATCCGCAGATGGATATTCTGACCATGATTCAGCAGATGGGAAAATTTCCGGAGTTGTTAGAATTTACTGAACTCTCACCCTCGGCTTTTGGGAGTTCCAATGCCGCTACTTCACTGCTCTTGGAAAACCCAAATCCCAATTTCTCTTCATTTAATCTGCCATCCACCGTTTCAATGAATAACCCCACTGACCCAGCTGGGCGACCACCGTGTTTTCTGCCATTTTCCGCCGCCGGCCGGTGGAGGAGTCAAATTGCCGCTGCCGGAAATTCCGACACAGTAAGATTCTATACCACTCATATATAACTTAACTAGTCGAGGTATACTGAAATGCTATGCAAATATTCACTTCAAACACTTTTCAAACACTTTTTTAATTAGGACAATATTTTTCTATGAATTGGATGGTACGAGATTAGATTTTATTTCAGCTCTCT